AGTAATCGAGTTGATCGGACGAATGGCCACTTTTATGTTTTCTCGACACTTCATGACCCGTACAATACGAAAAAAGTAGTCTCCCGTTTCCGTCCGTCTGTCTGTATGTCTGTCTGTCTGATTTCTGTATCCATTTTTATTAGACACGTAATCTCTGAAACTGCTGGACGGATTTTTGTCAAATTTTGTATGTATATTAGAAATATCATGTAGATGGTTATATGTTAAATGCTAGCCAAAATTTGGCTAATCATCCTCACCAACAATTTGATGACGTCATTTCAATGAACTGTATTTCAAAATGAGTTGACTGTTTTACAAAAATATACTCTTACACTTGTAGTTACGAATCCACTTTTCACACTCTGTTTTTTCGCTAAATGTTTAAATCTTCGCAAAAACATTTGCAAGCTATAATAATGTTATATTACCAAGACGGGGTATACGTCTCCGTAGCGAAGTAGTTCAGTGGCATTATCGGAGAACTGGCAACCTGCGGTAGAGGGTTCGATGCCGAACTTGGCCCTCTTCTTTTTTTTTTCTTACATTGGTAATACGCAATGACTACTTTTCTTTTGTACTAGTATTATCCATGTTAATGAAATTTGAAGAGTACACTCATCTTTATACAGGGTGTTCGCTAAGTTGAGACATTCCTTCGAACACGTGCTACTATACTTAATTCTAAAGGGTTTTAGCCTAAGTCACTTAAGCAAAAGTGGCATTGTAAGAATGTTAGATAGTTATTTTTAATTGTACTTTTCTAAAATTTTGAGTTCGGTCCTGTTCATTCTATCCTAATTGGAATACGATGCCTACCTATACAATATCCATTGTTACCATGGTTGTCATATTTTCTAATAATGTCAATAGTACTTGTCCCTTTATGACGTTTCAAAAATTGTTTGGAAGTTTCTGATTTTAACTCTTTATTTCTATTTCGTAGTTCAAGATTTAAAACGTCTACCTATTCGAAACGATAAGAAAAATCTATAAACTATCTAGGTGAACACAACTGTAAGTTGTTTGATTTATTCATGTACTAAATTGATAACGGAAAAGTAACACAACAGAATTTAATTAATCAGATGGCTAATTATTTGAAGAAATAAAATGTAAAAACAAAGAACTGATGTTTTACGAAATGTCTAACTTAAGAATTCTCACTGCCACTGCACACTTGAGAAATTCACAGTAAATGCTCAAAATTGTTGCCGTTATTTGCAATGCAAAGCCTTGATCTTCGTATCCAGGAATTGCCACAGGACAAGAGCCCTTGTTGCTGTCGAATTTGGTTAGCGGCATTAAATATACGATCTCGTAGCTCCTCAACTGTGTGTATTTCACTCGTATAAACCAACTGCTTCATGTGCCCCCATAAGTAAAAGTCGCAAGCGTTTAGGTCCGGCGAACGGGGCGGCCAGGCAATGGGGCCATTTCGCCCTATCCACCTATGAGGAAAAGCGTAGTTTAAATAATTCCGCATTTCCAGACGATAATGTGACGGTGCGCCGTCATGTAGGAACCACATGTTCTGCCTAATGTTTAATGGAACTTCTTCCAGTGATTCAGGCAAATCGTTTTGCAAAAAGTTGAGATACTGCATACCATCCATGCGATCCGGTAGAATAAATGATCCAATAAGTATACCATTTACAATGCCAGCCCATATGTTTATCGAAAATTTGTCCTGAAAATTTGTGCGGCGAATTGCATGCGGGTTTTCAAAGGCCCATACATGGGTATTACGAAAATTCATTGTACCATTACGAGTAAATGTTGTTTCATCAGTGACCAGAATTTGGTTAATAAAATTTTCATGGTTCATAGTTTGTTCCAAAAGCCATTCTGAAAATCGTACTCTTCGGGGATAATCAGGAGGTATTAAAGATTGCACACGTTGGACGTGATAAGGATGGAGCTGATTTTCACGTAATGTGCTCCATACTTTGCTGACATGTATTTATTCGATGAGCAATTTGTCGGGTACTAATTGCTGGATCTTCGCCTGTTATTTCTAGCATTTCCTCTTCTAGATCTAACATCTGTTGGAGTCTTGGTCTACCGGCGTGTCCTCCACGATGTTCCTGTAAGTTTCCAGTTTCTCTAGCTCGCTGTACGAGATTCGTAAATTGACGAGGCCCAGGGGGATGCCTTCGGAGGAATCTTTCTGCATACATTCTCGACGCCACAGCAGCGTTTTGGTGACATTCTCCATAGAGTATTAACATCTACAAGCTCACTATTTTCAAAACGATAAGCACGTTGAAAATGAGCCATGTCAATAAATTTGAATGACAGCTCTGACAATACTCTAAATTCATATCCATGACAATGATATTTTTTGTAAACGCTAATATTTAATTAGAAATTTTGGACAGGACCGTCTCTAAAAATTTCTAAAATTTATAAAAAGATGAAATCAATGAATATTGAAATTTTACTAAGGTAATAGAAGCTAAATCGCTCTAGAGCAAGGCATAAAACTACGTGTTAAAAGGAATGTCTCAACTTAGCGAACACCCTGTATAATGATAAAACAAGAATTATAATATTCACAACATTTTGTTCGATTGTGCTTTAATTAATAATTTTAGTCCTCCGTTTTGAGAAGACACATCCATTCAAATCAAACTAATTGCTATTTGCCATTCTTTCAATGTATAAACATAAATAAACACTTGAGCTTCAGACTGCTATTACCTAGCGCTGAAGAACATTTTATCCCGTTAGTTACGTTCTTTAAATATATTTTACATTGTCCGTATGGCGCAGGGGCTGAGGGGGTGTTATTTATGCCATGGTTTTTACTACAGCGGTTATCACAAAACGAAAATCGTAAAATCAAATTTTATAATTTTTTTTAAGAACGAGATTTGTCGAATTATACCTACTTGTAGCCTTCGAACAATTTTTTATTGATCAAATTAAAAACCTCATTTTCTAGAAAATCTAGAATACCCACGTCTTTATTTAATTATGATCAATAAGAATAATAATAATCATATTCAAAACATTTTATTCCATTGTGGCTTAATTAATAATTTTAGTCCTTTGTTTTGAGGAGACAACTCATTCAAATTAAACAAATTGCTACGTGAAATTCTTTCAATGCATAAACATAAACAATCGAACTTAAGCATGTATAGTAATACAGTATGACAATGAATTTGAAATTTGCGCCTCCACGACGCAGGGGGTTCGAGGTGTCATTTACACCACTGGCTTTTAATATAATAAAGGTTATCAGAAAACAATTTTTTTTATAATTTTTCAAAGAAACGGAATTTGTAGGACTGTCCTTCAAGAGTGAGGGAAGTTCTGTGGAAGTAACCTTGGACCAATTTTTTCAAACACAACACCCTATATTTTAATACTGTTTTTAAGTCGATAGTTACTGCGATTTTTTACTTTTTTAAGAGACTATTCCATTTGAAAGAACTGAAATATCGATATTTGAAAACTGTAAAGTTTTAGCTTTTTTTTAAACACTCTGTACATTGAAATTTCCATTGCCAAAATATTTCAAGAAAATTGGAATAGCGAGGCAACATCGCATCGGAATTCAAAAGGAAACTGTGGTTGTAAATCCTACGAAGAGGCCAATTAAAATATGCAAGCTTATACAAGATGTTTAAAAAAACAAGGTTGTGTGTTAGAACACTATGTACAGTTAAAAATAATTTCCACAAAAAAAACAGTACAAATTTGGTCTTTGACTTTTTCAGTGACTCATCCTGTATATATAGATGTGTTTAGCGACCTTACATTTCATATGACAGGTAAACCAGTTTTGCCATACCTATATAGTGTTTACAGATTTATCATCACACCGGTATCCCAGCGGGGTTGGCCGTGACGACAGGGTGCTTTGGACCCCTATCCTTGCACACCTCTTTCTCTTTCTCGACTGTCATAGTCCTCTTTAGTCCTCGTCTTTGTATTACATAATTTTTAAGATATTGTCTATTTCCGTTCTAAAAATCAAAAGTAGGTACCTCCAGAGATAGAACATCCAATTTTAAAAGAAATAGACTGTGACTGCTACAATTATGAGAAAACAACGGAAACCCAAATTTTCGTGAGCGAAGCCGTGGGCAGAAGCTAGTTAAATAAATCTCTAAATATGCATGCAGAAGTGATTTTGTTTTAAAAGTAAAGGAAGTTATGTCTTAGACCATTTCTTTAATTTACGTATATAAGTTTTAAAACTTTACAATATAATTCTACAATTTATTTTCGAGAGTACGTAATAAACTCCTTAGTAACTCGAATCATTTGAATAAACTTCAGTAAATGCTTTTACTGCCATTGGAAAGGGAGAAAAATATACAGAGAGCAAAAGTATGGGATCAGTCAAATATCACTAATATCAAACATGCACGTATTATTGACTGCGATTCATAGGGTGAGTGGATTACTCTCCAAAGCATTTTCTTTATTAGTCGATATTCTTGTCGTGCCCTGAAGTATTATTTCAGGAGCTGATTGCACAAATAACTATTTTATCACTATCAAACGTGTTTATCACTGTTGCACTGTTGTTTGCCAATTTTTTTATTAGCCCTTGTTGGTTTTGTAGGTCCAAATCTCACAACACAAAACAGTTGAATTAAATTGCGTATTACAGCAGAAAAATGTAGAAAACATGCGGTAGGTTTCAGCATATTGAAAATGTTTACATAGTTTTTATTTATTTAAGCTATCTACCATCCACAACAAGTTGTAACAATACGTTGTTTATTCAGCAGTTTTTTTTTCCCACAAAACAGGTCATCCGTAGCACATTTTGGCAAGTTTACAGACGAACGGAGCGATGGAACGTTATCGCACGTATGCGGTCATTATTCAATATTGAGTGCAGTTCACAAGGGCGATACATTACAAGTCGTAACGTAAACGTTTCGTCGACAGCCCCATAATTCGTAGCGAAAAGTTGTGAATTCCATCCTGCCCGTCAACACGCACACCCAACTAACAGACGTAATATTCTGTTTCAGGCCATGCGGAAACAAAATCTCACACACGCCATCCACACACCGGAAGTGCACATCATCGTTCAATCCGAGCTGACAGTCGTACGAATCTGAGCTACGAATACGGCCCCAACTCTCCAAAACCGGAGTTCACGCAGATGTACTCCAAGCAAAACGACAAGTTGATGCTGGAGTGTGCAGTCAATATAAACTTTAGCACCAGTATCTGGCTAAAGGATGGACAGATTGTGCAGACCATCCTCAAAGACAACACTAATAACAAACGTGTTATCGGGCATAGGTTCCTAGTGGACGCTAGTGGGAATTTGTTTATAGACAATGTTAGGTTGGAAGACGACGGAAAGTGGCAGTGTGAAGCCGAAGATGCCTTCGGATTTGTTGTCACAGGAAGACCTGTTCAGCTCACTATTTTAGGTAAGATTTAGAAACCTGATCAAAAAATATTATTATGTATGTGCTAAATGCAATATTGTTTACGCTGCTGAAAATTAAATTATTGAAATGAGTCAAAGTAGCAGCAAATCTTCACATTTATATACCAGTTGGAGTAGCTTTATGTGGTTTTCTTTATACAGTTTGTGTAATTGTTTTCTTTCTTCAACATTGATTTAAAAATACTTCTTCCACTTGAGATTAAACTTTGAGTACTCACTAATACAAACTAAGTCATCCCTTGTACGATCGCAAAATGGCTGCATTCAATCAACGACGATCTTCCAGATAGCACCGTCCAATAGCTTGAAAAAACACTAATGCACTATATTCTCACATACATAGACAACATTACTCCCAAATTAAAAAAAAAATGCTACCTATCATCCCATAATACAAAATAACTAAATAGAAAAATGGTCTTGGAGTATACTAATTACAACTCAAATGACAAGGCGACAAAAAATATATAGGAAAAACCTTTAGATCCATCAACACTAGAACCATAGAACGGTTACATCCAAACCACATGTTTGACAACAAACCTTCAACCTTACACTCTTTATCCAAAAACCATATTACTAACCTTCTAAAACAAATATGTCTACATCTCAGAACTCAAGGAAATAACTCTCCCTTGTCCTAAAGGAAATAAAACCCTTCCACGATCTTAAAATATATTTTTTATATACCTACAAGTTAGACACCACTTAACCATACAAGTAAAGTAGAGGCAACCGGAGTGAACAGGTACTATTTTCTGAAAGTGTTTATTGGCAGCCACTAATAAACCGCTTAGGATTATGATAGTAATAATTTACATCAATGATTTCCTCCTCGATTGCTTGCCTAAAAGAGACAAAAGTCCTATGGATAGGACGTGCATAAAACATTTTAGGTTATAATGGTTAACGACGTCCGATTCGCAAAACCCTTGAACCTTTCGGACAAGCAACCCAAAAGCAGCCAGTTTATCGGAAGCTTCCAACTAACAGAAAGTCAAGCTTCAGTATTTGCCCATCAAGATACCAACTACTTACACTTTCTAAAGTTAGCAACGACAATTGACACCCACGCACATACATATAATAGAACCTAAAATGTAACATTCAATACACACACGTCAATAATCTGGTAAGCTCAAAATAACATCATTTCAAACATTAAAAAGTCTTTGTAGGTCTGATGATGGATATAATTAATTAAAGTGAAGAAACATAATGTGCTACCGATTAATTAATATAAATAAAGACGCCCAGGAAACAGTACTCTTATACCGGGTGATTATTTTTAATTTCTGATCTAATCACACAAGAGTTTGTTGACAAAACAAATTTGACCAAAAAGTAGACCGTAACGTGATTTACAAAAATGAAAACCTGATATTTTTTTGTTAATACAACTAATTATAGTAGATCTAAATCGGTCTAAACATCTTGTTAATATTTTTTATGCTTTTAACATATTTGTAATTGTTATCATCTTATATATTATGTTATAAGTAACTATATTATGTTCAGGGTTCACTAGGCGAGTGCCACATACGTACCGAAATCAGTATTATGAGTTATGACTGTTGAACGATGTAGAAAGTTGCCAGGATAGTCTTCTACATATGACAAACCTAAATAAATAAGCAGCTTCTATTGAGCAGAGTAAAATTAATACTTTAATGACTAAATTATTGGAACATAAATTTAATTAAAAATCTTGTTCTTAAACAGAACAACTTGGTTCCTAAAAGGTCAGACGCTGCGTTTGATGCATGGATTTTCAATACATTTTCAGAATTTAATATCCGTATTATTAACAAACTGACTAAGATCCGGTTTATGGAAGCTCAATTAAATATTTGATTGCAATTACATTTTTAACACGGCGTTAGAATACCACGTGACCGACTCTACGCCAATCAGACGTCGCTGAACGCCTCGTTAAATGCGTGATTAACTTATATGCAACGTTTTTTTTTTTAAATCATCTCCATTTTAATTTTTTTTTCAAATTTTTCATCATGTATCTATTTTTAATACTCACTATCTCAATTGCTGAAGGAAATTTCGGAACGGAGGACATAAAATAAATGAAAATATAAATCAATTCTTGATTAAATAATAAAAAAGAATATTCATTAAAACGAAAATGAAACACTTTTCTAATTACTCGAAAGAGCATAAAAATTTGTAACATTAAAACAAATATTTTTCCATTATGTCATCTTCCACTCAAGGGAAAAACGTTTTGTTCGTATATTAGAAATATTATGTATATGGTAAAATGCTAATCGAATTTGACTGATCATCCTCACTACCAAATCCGACGTCATCTCCAATTTACAGAAGTATTTTTTTTATTTTATAAAATAAGATACTCCTGCACCTGTGATCTATGAAGCCGTGTCGTGTTTTCACATAAATTTTTGGAAAAAATTAAAATTGTGTAACAACATTTTGCAATTTAACTTAGAAATTGCAGAACCAATGAAATTTTGCAAACATCGTAAGGTTTATCGTAATCATCGTAAATTGTTTACCACAATTTATTCGTTTATCCTCTCCCAAAAAATTGACAAAGTCATCTCAAAATTTCGCCGAATAAATCCTCTCTGAAATATCCAAAACATTACGACTCTATACTTGTGGTTCATCAATGCACTCACAGATTTTAAAATTACTTATTCAGGAGGACTCAAAAAAAAAACATGAATGAGTAAATTTTTTTATTAAATCAGGAACTGCACATGCGAATGCTTTGAAATCTTGCAGACGTTTTAAAGTTATCGTAAGCATGGTAAATTTTTAATTAAAACATAAACTAAAAATGGACATCATTTCAAAATTTTGCCGAATAAATCCTATTATCCTATTTATTAATTTTTAAATGTAATGTTCAAAATATGATGAGTATCTACTTGCGATTTATCATTGGAATCATATTTTTTTAGAACTGCATATACAGCAAAAATTAATTAATGAATCAATTTATTTTATTGATTAAATCCGGAACGGCTCACTTCATTTTCCTGAAAATTTGGGAATACAAAACTGTTATTATTAGTATTACACTACATCTATCCAAACTGATATACGTCTCCTTGCAAAAATATTGATGGCGTCATCACAAAATTTTGTAAAGGAAAAGCTCATTTGAAAATTTACATTAATACAGGGTGTTTGCGAAATGCACCGACAAAAAATTGGAGGGGTCCCCGAGAGCATAAGGAAAAAAAACTCCTGTTGTATTATCAAAAGTTGCAAAGTAAATTTACCCTTTATCCAAGCTTTATTCGCGCCACTGTAAGAAGTGCTATCAGATTCAATTAATTCACGTTTTGTAAAAACATAGCAACCAAAAGCTGACAACGAAAAGTGAAGTTTGAAAAATCTCAAGTAAAAAGTCAAAAGTATTTTTTCAGAAACAATCAATTTGAAAGAACTTTAACTGGATGTTTAAAATTTTTGGAGTAAAGAATTATTTTATATGGTAGTAATTAGTCATTTATACTTAATTTTCCTTGCGTCGAGGTCCTATTAGAACGAGGGGCGGCGAACCACTGTCCAGGGTCGCGGGTCTTCTTTCCCGTTTTTTGCGTTCCGCGGTAGATTTTTCAGTTCTTATAAGAACTCGGTTCTAGACAGTGGTCGGCCGATCTTGGTTCCATTGGAATTCCGACGTGATAGGTAATCGTCCGCGTGTTATTTTTCAGGATGCCGTCATTTTCTCTATTTATGTACGTACAGACTTATTATTATTAATGATGAGCATAGTTAACAAAAAGAAACTACTAATAAGAATAAGAGTTTTCAACGACGATAACCAACTAAACTTTACCAATCAAAATAAAAATAAAAAATAAAATTAACACAACGTTAAACAAACGACTACAACAAGTTTTCGAAATGACGGCCTCTATTATGTACACATGCTTCTGCTCGCCGAATTAACGACTGCTGCGTTTTTCTAACCATATCTGGATTATTTCTAACCTGGGCAGCAACATTTTGAATGCGATTTGTCAACTCTTGCACCGTATTCAATGGAGTTTGATAAACTACCTGCTTCATGTAACCCCATAAAAAATCACAGGGATTGAGATCGGGAGAACGAGGTGGCCACAACGCAGGTCCATGTCTCCCAATAAATTTGTTTGGAAAGTTTCGGTCAAACCATCCCCGCACTTCTACGGCATAATGCGCAGGGGCCCCATCATGAAGGTACCATAGATCCCTACGAACATTTAAGGGTACCTTTTCCAAAAGTGTTCCTAAATCGTTGTTTAAAAAATCTAAATAGGCAACCGCAGTTAAGCGAGGGAGCAGAACGTGTGGACCTATCAAATTGTTGTCAACCATGCCTGCCCAGACATTTACTGAAAACCTGTCTTGAAAATGCGTTTCCATGACCATATCGGTCATTTCGGCATTAGAAAAAGCTGCCATTTTAAAACTCAATAAATTTGACGGATTTTTTTAGAGTCACTAAGAAATGAAGATTACGTTTTTTTATTTTAATTATTACAATGCACCTACATAGGTACATTTTTCTTAGTAACCACATTATCTTTTTAATCACTGTTAACTCAGTAGCGTACATGCTATTTTGACCAAATTTTATTTCGAAAACTAAAACACTTTTATTAGAACATTTTTTTCTTAATGATATCTACTCATCCAGACCAATTTTCAGGTTTTTTTTGTCGGTGCAATTTGCAAACACCCTGTATATCTTTATATAAACATGTAGAGGTTCTCATAAAAAATTAAATTCACACGATCAAGTTTTATATTTTTTCGAAAAAGCTGGATGTTTTATTGTAATTTTATTGTATTCATTGTGTACCATCCACTGGTTGAAACATAACAGTAACAGTTTCTGTCACATCCAACCATTGGAGTGATTTGTTTTAAAGTGTAAGGTTATGTTTCTGCTCAATAGATGTTATATTAAGAGTAGACATGCCTTTTGTTTCAAATGAAATTCCA